TATCGCAACTTAAAGTTGTGCTTCATCCGACTCTATTATAAACAAGGGTATTTTTTATTAATTTAGAAAATCAATTTTCTCTTGTTTAATTGTATTTGCCCCAATTAAAATAATTTAAAGTTGTTATAATGTATAATAAACTAGGTATATACATTTATATTTAACGGTCACACATGATAATTTCTTTTGGATTTAATTTAGATCTAGAGCTGTAGAATTAATATGCTGCTCTTACCACATCAAAAAAAGTTTGGTTAAAGACACAAGTAGATCAATAGTATGACTGAATCCGTGAAAGAAAGCACTCTTTTTTGTCCTTATGGTTATGGGTTGATAGTGTTGTCAAATTGTTTGATTTTGGGCTATTACTAGAAGTGGGCCTGATTTTGGGCTATTAGATGTTGAGTGTTTCATCCTACTCTTCTAACAGGTTGATGAATTCAATGATATATTAATTGAAGCAGCATAGAATATATGTTTCTTCTTCATTCTCGTGCTTTCACTCTTTGTCTGCATTTCCATTTCATTTTTTCTCTTTTCGTTTAGTGCTTCTTCAGAGAGATTGAGATAATTTTTTGGTGAACTTGTTTGTGTTTTAAGTAGTTGGAGGTGATGGTTCAAGGTGGGTAATTAGCATTTGAAAAGAGAAAGTGTTTTTTCTAAGATTCTAAAAAAAAAACATATATATATATATATATATATATATATATATATATATATATACTCTTAAATTCGTATACTGTATTGGGATATAAAAATCATCGGATATCAAAAATCAAAATCTGATCGAATAATTTTTATCGAAGGTTGAAATCCGATGAAGAAAAAACGAATTTCAAAATCCGGGCATGCTTTCCTGTCGCATTTCGGAAACATAATTTTTTTTCGTCGCATTTCAATGTCAGAGACAAATCTCGCATTTTCATATCCAATAGGATATATTTTTGCTTAATGTTTCTTTATTTATAATTGTATTATATTATTTTAAAATCTAAAAGTTTATTAAATTATTTTAAATGTTTTAATTATATTATTTACAAAATTTTTAATTAGATAATTTTAAAACGTTTAATTATATTATTTATAATGTAAAAGTTTGTTTTTTTAGAATGTTATATTATATTGATTTAAAATTTAAAAGTTTGTTTATTTTGAATGTAAAAGTTTATTAGATTATTTAAAATGTTTTATTATATTATTTTTATATGTTTAATTAGATAGTTTGCATAAATTTATTTAATTCATTAAAAAATAATTATTTTTTAAAATTAGTAAATTTATTTAAAATATATATGAAAAATTTTAAATATTTTTTAGGTAGTGTTAAGTATTATTATTTTGGTGTTTTTATTGTATTTATATATTTTTAATTTATTGTATTAGTTTATGATTTTATAATTTAATTATAAATAAATAATTTATTCTATAATATATTATTTGTAAATGTTTGTTAGATTATTTTAAAATTTTTATTATATTTTCCCAAAGTTTAGGTATGGGACTATACAGTTGAAGGATAGCTTAAAGGGATTGATTTGACTACTCATATCACCCCAAAGTTTAGGTATGGGACTATACAGTTGAAGGATAGCTTAAAGGGATTGATTTGGCTACTCATATCACCAAATGCATTTGCTTTTTCGGTAGCCTGACTCATAAGAACTCCATGGTTAAGCATTCTGGGATGGGTGACCTTCTGGGAAGTTTTCCGGAAAGTGTGCGAGTGAGGACAAAGCACACTGGAAAGCATGGTGGTGGTCTGTGGGGGCAGTCAACGGTCACTGTGAGTTGCCGGGATCTAAATGTTTAATTAGATAACTTTTATGAATTTATTTAATTTATTAAAAAAATAAATTTATTTAAAAATGATATGACAAATTTAAAATTTGTTTTAGGTAATCTTAAGTATTTTTATTTTGGTGTTTTTTTAAGTATATTTGATTATTTATAAATGTTTAATTTATTGTATTATTTTATGATTTTATAATTTAATTATAAATGATTAATTTATTGTATTAGTTTTTAATTTTTTAAATTTTTTTATAAAATATATTGTATGACGTCTTTTAATTTATTAAAATTAAATTAGTATTTAAAATTGATATGAAAAATTTAAGTAATATTTTATGTAGTTTTAAGTTTATTAAAAAACTATAAAAAGTTAAACTATAAAACCAGAAGAAGATGGTACGTGGATTTATCTAAAGAAAGATGGAGAAAGTGAAGAAGAGGGGAGAAAATTGGAAGAAGAGGGTTGAAAATTGGAGAAAGCAAGGAGAGACTTCCATCCTTAAGATCAGAAACAGAAAGATGAATACAAGAAATAATTTATAAGGAGAAAATTGTTTCAGAATCTGGTGAAAGATTTTCTTCACTTTATTAAAAATTAATGATATTTTAATAGAGGACATTATAAGGCATTTAAGAAAACTTTGGAGGTGCAGGATGAAGCTCCTGAAGTGAAGGATGAAAATGTTAGCCTAAAGTGTTTTTCATTAACCCAGACAACTTCATTTTTATTTTTAAATTAAAATTAAAATAATTTAAAATATTTAATTTTTATATTATATTTTTTAGAAAATAAATATACAATAATATTAAAATTTAAATTATTAACAATTATAAGTTAAGTTATAATTATTATAATAGAATAACTTAACATTTAAATGTAATAATTATTTTAATTTGTTTCATTAAAAACATTAATTAATTAATTTAAATATTTAAAAATATTTATATGATTAAATATATTTTAATATTTATTTATATATTTATACAAATAAATTTTTAAAATTAAAAATAAAAAATAAAAAATTTAATAAAAAATGGACTGCCAGCCTGCTTGTCCGTCCTATGATTGGATAAATTACAATTCTATACTGTTGATTAGTAGCCTGCTAATCTAACCTGAACCATTTTGGATAGGTCAAAAACAGATTGCAACCAAACAGGTCAGATGAACCTATTTTACTATCCACTAACACAACACAGTTAGATATGATAAAGATTTTTTTAATTTGTTACTAAGTTTATTTTAACTTTAAAAAACCTATTTTGTTTTCTTCTATTAAAATAGAATATGTCTTACCTATGCTAAGAATGCGTGAAAATATTAACTATTGATTCATTTATATTTAAATTATTTCTTTTGGTTAGCTCAATGATTTATACGTTTGAAATAATTGTACGATGGTGTGCATTTTATTAAAAAAAATGAATAATTTAAATACAGTTTCATGATAAAAAATAATAAAACATTACTCCGTACAACTATAATATATAATGATTTTATCAAAATAATTTACTTATTCAACATGTTTAAAATCAACATATTGTATATATTAAATCATTCTAAAGAATATTCAATAATAATTCACATTATTATATATGTATTTTTTATCCTAATTATTTTTATTAATATTGTTATTGTTATAATTTAAATATAATTAATCAAAATTTTATATACTTTAACATTTATTATTATAATTAAATATTAAATAGTGATACAATAAAATTCACGGCTACAAACTCTATTATAGCACAAAAACATGCAGTGAGTGTGAAATAACAACATTCTGAACATCATGGTATTCAAATTTCAAAGGTTCTACATTAGAATCGACAGAGGAGGAACTGAAATTACTACTGTATCCTTATTTGATGTGATACCTTCATCCATTTAAATTTCTTTCATAGCCATCACCACTAAATGCTCTGAAACTTGTCCCCAATAAATTGTACTCCCAAATCTATATATATATATATATTCAAATTGATGAAAGCAGACATCCCAAAGAGAATTCCGAAGCTGAAAAAGTGGAAATGAAGAGTCTAAATTAATTTTTTTTTTATTTTATAATAAAAAAGAGGACAAATATAAGGCAAAACATAATTAGCAGAAACACAATTATATGTTAATAATTTTTTTAACAAACTTTTGATAATTAATTATGTGTCATTATTTTATTATCCGTATTTTGAAACAAAACAACAAATTATCATCTTGTTATAAAAAGGTTATAAAAAAAATTGTTAAAAGAAAACATTTTCCTTAAAAACTGAATTAATACAGAAGGTGACAACATGGGACCTCCAAGTTGATGACCAATATGTACCACGTGTAACACATGCAACAATGCAACAATAGAAAGAAAAACAAATCCCACTTCATAAAATCACAAACTTTATTTAGGGTATATTTATTTGAAATGAAACCAATAAAATTTTCAATAAAAATAATATATATATATATATATATATATATATATATATATATATATATAAAACAAAAAAGTTAATACTTATACCTCTCGAATATTCTCTCGTCGTATTAAAGAAATTCGGTGTCCAATTTTTAAAGTTAAACTCAAACATGTTAAGCATTTATCTTTTTCCACCACGAAAGATACGTTCTTTTACTATAAAAACACTTTTAATAAATATAAATAAATTGTGTTGCTTAATTTTGAAGTTTTTCACTAAAATATTCAAAATATTGTATTTTCTAAAATTAAGAAAGAAAAATTACATTCGCTAATGTGTTTGAGTTTTGTAGTTTTATGAATTTTGGAGACTCGTCCTATTCAGAGGATTAAAACAAAAAGAAAGAGATATTCTCTTTTACATCCTATCTTTACCTTTGGAAACTAGCTACAAGCGAATGACATGGGTGGAATTTGCCAATAACATTCAATATACTAGAAATACAACAATTAGCATACACCATCTCTGCTGCTAGGCATCGCATTGGCAAATATACAATATAGCATAATTCAAGTCTTTTCATAATTACTTTCGCGTATATTATTAAAAATAGATGTATTTAAATTCTAACATACACGATTATATCAATTCTGCAAATTTTATATTCTTATAAAGACTTATGAGATTGAAAATTTGAAAATGGCATCACTGTAGATTCGGGTAAAATCATAATCTATTATTTCTGATTTACTAAAGAGACAACCGATTCTAGGTAATTAAATATATAAAATAAAAATGATAGTCTTGAAGCCAAAAGGTTCCTAATTGCAAGCTTGAGAATGGTGAATGTGACGCAAGATTACTACTACACAGACATAGGATTTGAAATGACTAGGCGAACAAAAATAAAATAAAAGAAAATAATTGAAACTTCTGAGTCTTAGCCAGTGCCATCTTTTTCAGTCTGCCTCATCACTCTTTTCATCTTCAAGTACTGACACGATTACCATTGGATGGCACGTAATATTGCATTTCCGTGTCATTCTTCGGATCCTTCACTCCTTCTTTCACACCGTCTTCCGTGCTCACTTCTTCACTCTTCCCCCAAAGAACACTGTAGAGCCCCAAGACTATCAACAGAGACCCTATGGCACTAAACCAAATCCAAAAAATGTGAGCCAAAACCAGTTATTATTTTGCTTGGTGAAAAATAAAAATGCATGTCATTTCTTACGTTCCAACATATAGTTTCTCCCGCAGCAAAGCCCAGCTTAAAATTGCTGTGAGAACAAGCTGCAAAGGCGTAAATACTGAGACATAAAGTGGACCTTTTCTCTCAATGGCCCACGACATGAGGGAATACGCCAACCCGGTCGCCATTACTCCCTGCAACCAACGTTAACATATAGTTACTTTCTATGAAACAAAGCATAGTGTATATGAATTATTTTTTAAGGTTGCATTATATATGTATGTGCTGTACCGCATAAAGAGCGGCGGAAAGTCTCATGGCATCGCGGAGTGACCAAGCTGAGACACTGTGGTCGAAACATAATGCAATGATGATGCATTGAAAGCTTGCCAAGAAACACATTAAGCCTGTGCTTGTGTAAGGAGCCGGGAACCTCTTGCTTATGTCTGTCTGAAACACGAAAATGAATAAGAATAAGATATAAAACAGTGGCCAGTTATGTAAGTTGTACTAAGTTAGGATATGCTTACTTGAATTACGAACCACAGCGCCCAAACAAGAGTGCTAGCAATTAAGAGTAAAGGGCCTACAAACATGTTTCCTGAGCCAGAAGCGGTAGTTCCTTCCATTTTCTCTGCATATCTCCAGTGAATACTAGATTGCCCTAGACCGATGGTTTTTCCATGGTAGAATGACAAAAGCAACGCTCCACTCACACACAATACTGTCCCGAATACCTTTGCTAGGCCAGACCTCTGCTTGATTCCTAGATTCTCTTGTCTATCCATACAACAAAACAAAACAAAAATTAAAACATGGTGGCCGTATTACTATTGTGGGAATAAAAGGTATTTGGTACCAACCTGAAGATAACTGCCAGGATAAAAGTGAAAGCTGGGAGCAAATTCGACAGTGCACATGCAATTGTAGCGGTTGAAAATTTTAGCCCCACAAAGTATAGAATCTGATTTCCTGTAACTCTGCAATCAAACTCAGTGTGATTAAGATCATCTTGTTATCTATTTTATTTTCTTTTAATTCAAAAACTCTGGTTTTCTAAATAAAAAAGTATGCATAACTAGTGTCTCCACTTTTCATCTTGGTTCACCTCTGTTAATGTTATGTTTGGAAAAAAAATTTAACACGGTAGATAAAATACATTACCCTGTCAAGGACGATAGTAATATCCGAAACATAAGCTGCTTATTCAACCTGGGAAGTGTCTTCCTGAAAAAAGAAGAGATGGAGAAAACTGAAGTTAACATTTATTAAAACTTAATAAAGGAACGCAAATTTATGCATGCAAGATGCCTTTACTGATGGGGCCAAATTGGAATAGTAAATAAGGTTAACGACAGCAAGAAGGACCTGACAATTTCCACCGATCAAGATTTCTCGTAGAAGTACGAGACAAACATAAATGAATCTCTTTAGTATTCCCCAAAAAAATAAAAACAAAAACTTAAGTGAATGCCATATTTAAGTCACGGGTTATACTGCTGCAACTCTACGGCAACATTTTCCTTTTAGAAACTACGTGAAACGTGTAGCAATACTTCTTTCAAGTTGCTGGCACGTAACATGCAGAGAGACTCAAAACGCGTCTTACATGCATGCCATTTAGCATCTTCGTTTTTTGGTATCCACAGTACTCTGCAAAAATGTGGAGAAGACACAGTAAAGCAGTTCTTGAATCAAGCTTGGAGTTTCCCCATTAACTGAGTGACTATACGTTGTGTTGGTGATAACATTTTTCTTATACCTTCCCCCACTTCATGCATGTTCTCCGCTTTAAGTTTCCCAGAAAGCCAAGAAGCATCATTCATGAATTTTTGTTTATTTTCCAGTTTCATTAACCGTTTGAAAACGTTTGAGATTGATTGAGTTCATCAGATAATCAGGAAGAACATCAATTTTATTAAGAAAACTGTTTGTTGATTATTATTTGTGTAATAAATGGAAAAGGCGTTACTTAATTAATAAGAACAACTAGCACCTTTCATTTCACAGTACCCTCGACTCCATTAATAAACAACATGCACACAGACACATGAATAGATATATAAACAGCACAATCAACCAAAACATCAGGGATCGACGGTGACACTCTGCCAGAAAAGTTAGCACATCAAACCCTTTCATGCATGCATATAGTGGATATGAAATGAAACAAAAACCAGAGACTTAAGGGTATATGTATATTTAATAAGGTACCATTCGAGCCAATATGCAAAGGGAGCAATGGAAACGGTGGCAAAGAGTTGTCGATACGCAACAAGGACTAGAGGGCTCATGCCAGATTGTATTGCGAGCTTCGAAGTGATATTCATCCCGGCATAGACTAGCTGCACAACAATCATTAAGATGAGGGGAACGAGACCGCTAGCCATGTTTCTCTCTTTCACTCTCTGCCTGTGAAGTTTGAAGAGAGAGTTTTACATGAAAGAGTAATGTGTTTGTTTGTGAATGAAATGCATGAGAGGTGTTACGTGTATATATAATAGAATAGACTCGGGCAAGTTGCGTGAAGTAAGAGTCAAAGAAACGGTGACACTCTGCCAGGACTAATTACCTTTTTTTGCATAAAAGAACGGTTTCATTGATATTTCTTGCAGCAGTTTGGGCTTTTTCGCGGGGTTTGGTAGCTTTCAATGCATTCAGATTGGTGAAGTAACTTTCAATAACTCGTTGGCTCCACATTTTGGCATGTCAACAAAAACAATAAATAAAAGGGACCCATCACACTATGCCAGCCTTTTTCCACGTTGGCAACAGATTGCATGCACTACCTTCGTGCTTCTCTCTTCCTTGAATTAAGCAGCGTTTCAAAATATGCATAAAATAGAGAGAGAGAGAGAGAGGGGGAAGTTTCACTTTCAGGCACCATTTTCAAGGCCTAATTAGTTACAATTTATTATCACATTTACTATCTCATTGCCTTGGGAAATGTAAGTGGAGTAAATTTCTGCTGCTTACAGTTAAGACTGTGCGAGTCTCTTTTATTCATGTAGCCAAATGCAGGGATGGCTTTAAAGTTGAACTAGGAAATTTTTCAAAATGTAAGGTTTTCCTAGATTTTACTCCACCCCTAAATCATCATTATCTTCTCCTTCACTTACCCTCACGAGAAGTTTCTTTCTAATTTTGAATAAACGTTTCTGATAAAGCTATCTTAATACAAATGTATATAGACATTGCTTTAATCATCCATATGTCAAACTCTTCTATATATATGGTTCAGTCATCATATACATTTTGTCGTCGCCTCCAATACGTGGCGAAAAGATTGTTATCAAAGAGAATGTTAATTAAGTTGCCTGGTTGGAAGGCTGATTAAGAAAAGGGTGGAAAGTTTTCTGACGGAAAATATTTACTCCTATCAATTTAAAGCCACGAAATGTATTTAATGATTACTAATTTATAAGTAAAAGCATTTAATAAATGTGTTAAGTTTAACACTTAGTTTAATGTTGCTTATGTAATCATAACAAATATGTGGCATATATTCATTTATTACGGCATTAATCCGGGTCTTAAATCACACGTAAGTATTTCAGCTTAAAACTCAAACAAGTGTCGGACTTTCTTTCAGGAAAAGTATTGCAGCCAAAGCTAAAGAATATTATTAGTGAGAAACAAAATTAACACATATAAGTAGAGTACAAGAAATAATAAAAAGTTAAGTGTTACCGATATGAGTTCTTTTGTGTGCGCACGTGAATCTCTTTTAAAATTACAGCTAATATCTTTTTTATTTATAATAGTAATTTTTGTTTCGTCTTAATCAATACTAAATTATGTTTTATTTCAAACGAAGACAATAATTTTTGTCTAAACTACTCAAAACTTCATTAAACTAATAATAGTTAAATATTATATTACATTTAGATCATTATACTTATAGAAAAAGCAATAACAATTAATAATTAACTCCTCCACAAATTAAACCTTCAACAATACTTGTAGCATATACTTGAATATATGGGTAAATATTTTATTCACTACAATAGTTATTCACATAATTTGTTTTTAATACAATAAGAACAAAATTATAATTTTAATCTAAATTTTTTTATTTCACTGCTTTTATTTAAACAGCATTAATGTTATATGTATTTATTAAAAATAAAATTAATGTTAATTAAATAAGTTTTAAAGCTTAAGGGAGTCTTAGCTCTTTTCTTTTTAGTTTTTAATTTAAAATTTTTAGTGGTTCATTCAATGTTAACTCAATATTAATCTTAATTTTCATTTTACAAACACAGCACACGTGACAATTATACCAAAAATTGGATAGATGTTAAATCTTATTAGCCTTCCACAAAGTTAAAATAAAATTAACACAACTAAATTTATTATAATAAGATGGGAATTTTTTTCTTATCATACTCGTAATGAAATATGTTTGTTATACTGATTCGACTATTTGCCGAACTTGAATAGTGAATATTTTTAAAAGAAAATAAAGAAACATTTTATCTTCCTATTTTCCTTTTTTATGTGTTTATATATGTAAAAGTTATCCAAACTAAACCTTAACCAGTAGCAATTGCAATAACATGTATTACATTATTTTTTAAATTTAATTAGAAAATGTAAATAGCTTTGATTCTCTTTTGTTGCATAAAGATAGAAGTCAAAGTAGATTAAAATAAAAAAATAAAATATAAATATATAGTTAATATTTGGAATAAATTTAAGTTTTGTAGCATAAAAGTTTGTAATTTTCATATATATATATACACACACACACACACATTATCGTTTCAGTTTTTCAGTCCCAAATTAAATATGATGTTTGGTTCTTTCTGTAAGAATCCATCTAAATTATTCTTTCTATATTGAGTTTTTTTTTTTTTTTGCAAAAATATTAGTTAATTAAACCTGTGATATGTATTGAGAGATTGTGTTTGGGAACAATTACAAGAACATCCATGAATGTTTTTAAATGATTTTTTTATGCGTATAAATTAATATATAGCAGTGCCATCAGCCGAGTTAGACCTATTGTACAATTCATTACTGTTATATATGTGATTTTAATGAGTATTCACGATCATTATCTACTAAAACAATTTTTAGTTTCGATTAATCACTTGACCTTATAAAAAAAAGACTACAAAGAATAATGAATAACATCAAGATGATATAATTTTAATTTCAAATAAATGTTTCTAATAATATACTGATATTTGATTTATAACCGATACCTTAATATGAGGCCCAAGAGGAATAATAAATAAGACCAAAATGATATACTTGTCATATAAAATAAACGTTTCTAATAATATGTTCATATTTGATTTGTGATCAAAAGCGTAATAACATAGAAAACAAGGAAAAATATAGAAACCTACTTGGATCAATCTAGTGATAGGATACATTGAGTATCATGCAATTGTAAAAACAAAATTATAACAATAATAATATTCCAATCATATGTTTCTAAAATAAGTTGGATTTGTGAAGTCTCACGATACATCAAAAATTAATTTAACTCTTCCAAAATTCATACCTTGTTCAACTAAACCTCTATATTTAAACTTGCATGCATATTCTTTTTTATCCTTCTTCCTATCATTGCTTCAACCCTACTGAAAGATATCGTGTTTGTTTTAGATGAAGATTGGATTATACTTCAATTATATTATTTATTTTCTTAACATTACATATTATTATTTTTAATAAAAATTTACTTATTTTTATTTGAAAGTAACCTATAGATATGAGTCCATTGAATTGGGAAACACAATCCTCTTACGTGATTTTTTTGTTCATGGGACTAAATTCGTGAAAATAAATAGAAATGAAGATTTTGTACGTACCTTGACAAATTTGGAATTTAGTTTTCGTGAGTATGTTTTTACGTCATACGAAAATGTTCAAACAAAATATCTATTTCCGTTAATGTGAAAATAATAATAATGATGATAATAAGATGACATTTATAAGATTGGAAAGCTTGTCATCAACGAGGACAGTGACGTGCTTACGTAGGGTGACGAGTATGGGAATTATAACGTGTTGTGCGTTTGGTTTTTTCGTTAAAAATATCATTTTTATACTAAAAAAGTATGAAAAAATATACGCGCCTCATAGAAAATTTAAAATGGAAAACGGAAATGGATAATAGTTCACCCTTGCACTTAACTTCAATCATCGTCCACTTTTATGCGTTTTATTTTCCTAAATTTTATTTATCTTGTTTTTTTAACTTATTATTATAAATTTTTATGTTTCACGGAACGTGTAAATTAAATTATGTAATTGATGAAAAATTATAAGATTTTTACACAATTCTTTTATGAAAAATTCACAATAATCCCACGGAATATATCTAACTCATCCTCTCACCTATAAATTTAATTAGGATGCATTGTTATAAAAATAACACATTTTTCTATAATATTTTCTTTTTCTTCTAAAATTATAAACTAGACTTTTAATCAATCAAATCTTCAATGGGATGAAAAATAAATTTTTGTCTGTTTAAAGTCATCTTTATTTAATAGAAAAATTTATATTAGGGTGATATAAATATAGATATCGATAATACTTGTTTTTTTAAATTACTTACGAAAACGATCATAAATATAAATATATTTATCTTCTCAAACATGTCCATGTTTTTGTATTTATTTTCGATTTAAATTACTAAAACATTGAGTAAACTAAAATATTTATCTTTAGTAGCATTTTTCTTCTTAGTCTCGTTTTCATTTCAGAAATCTTTATTTCTTTATTTTTTTACTATATAGTCTTTCATTGTCGTACGCAACTTTTTCACATGTTTATTAACAAAGTCCACTTACATTTATTTAATATTTTTCTTTTCCTCACAACTTTTACTACACACATTCTTTATATGTTAATGAATTTCGTTTTAAAAATCACAAACCTTGATTTTATTGAATCAAATTATAAAAATAAATTTAATCCTTTTTACTGCTTAATTTTTTGCTCATAAAAAATATATTACTCTCGATTTCAAGTCATATAAACCATTAACTCATTGGTAACATAAAAAAAAATATTTTGTTTCTTTAATTTTAGTTTTAATTAGAAGAGCTAAGATATACCGTTAAAACATGCATTGCGAACCTTGGAATCACTGCGTGCAAAATGATTGGACAGATAATCACTTTCGGGTGTTCTAGCCTTAAATAATAAATTATTAAATTAAATGTTGTAAGAAAATCTGTGGTTATAAGTAGTTGACTATTTTAGATGATTAATCAATAATTAACTAGAAGTCAATTACATAGGAACTATGATAGAATGTGAAAAACAAGATAACTTTTATTTAAAAAATGAGAATAATCACACTAAAGCATAAACTGAGAATCTTGTGGTAATTGCATGCATAACGATTGGACAGATAATCACTTCCATGCGTTATAGTCTTACATAATAAAATAGGCTTAATTTTTTGAGTCCCTCGAAACTTTTAAATTGATTCCTTGTTAAGTTTGTTTGGTTTATTGACTATTGAAAATTTAAAAAATTTTCTTCTGCAGTTACGATTTTATGTTAAATATGTAACGTGGAATTTATCTTTGACTGTGACTCTCTTTAAATGCCTCTAAAACCCTTCAGCATCATCCATCATTTGGGCATATATTGCTCACGGTGTTCTCAGCTTCTCCTACCTTCAAGATGTTTTCAAGACCTTCCAAACAAACTGTCACAATCCTAGGATTAGGACATACGACAACATTAATACATCCTTGACTTACACGGAACCTGTCAACCGTGGAAAAAGATTCATAACCTTGTCATACCAATAAATCTCAAAGGAACATTCCATAATCTAAACAAATAAATAGGAGGAGGATGTATAGGTATGGGACAAGACATTCATCTTTTATGATTTGAGGGTCGAGTTTGGTCTTTCTCAAAGGACTAATCCTTTGTGGTGGGAAACGTTGGAGGACAGATACCTCTCCTATTTTCTGTAACATTTAATTCAATTAAAATATTTCTCTTCTTGTTTATTAGTTTGCTTCCTGTTACTATTAGGATTAACATAAAATAGTCAGTGACATATTGTGATCTGTATGTACTACTAAAATAGTTATGGTTGGTCACTATTTAAAGCTTCTATGAAGATTTTTGTTACAAGTCAGTTTTGCTTATCCTCCTCTGTATAAAGTATAAGCATGCTATTCCAATCAAAATTGTCAGCAAAGATCATTTCCTCAAATTCATGCATCTTGTGTGATAGTATCAGAGCATGTTGCTCTGCTTCAGCATTGTAATCTTTGACCTCTTCCTTAACTTCATCTCAGTTATTTTCTGCTCATCCTTTCAGCTATGGCAAATCTAAATCACTCTAGCCTAGTAAGTATCCTGGACAAAACCCAAGGACGGTCCTCTTTCCTCCACCGATGAATATTGGTAACTATCATTCATGGGACGGACTGTGCAATGAAAAGAGCTTTTGTAGGATGGAGTGTTGTAAAGATGCTGACAATATAATAAAAATAAAAAAGAATGATGATATTTTAACAATAAATTTTAATAACTTTTTTACAATGGGACACGTGACATTGCTTGGTTTGTTTGAATTTGTTTTTAAAAAAATATTTGAAAACAACCAATCATAAACCGCTACCCGTTGTCAAAAAGTTGTTAAAAAAGAGTTAAAGAAACATTTTCCAAAAAAAATAATAGTAAATGAGAAACTTGTACATTCTTTTGACACAAAATAATCATAAAAAGATAAATTTTTGTATTATTTGAAGAAATAAGAGAATGAAAGGTAAGTAATTATACAAAATGAATATAAAAATTTAAGGGTGTCAAATAATTTTTAATGTAAAAAAATAGAAACTATCACCTTAATTTCCGACCATAAATTTATTATTTTTAAAGACTTATTTACAGTATTACACAAGTCCTTCAAAATATAATAAAATTTTCTTCGAAAATTTCGGATATTAACATAAAACTATAGGAGAAGTTAGAAATTAAACTCAATATAATATAAAAAAGAAAAATAAGAAAATGAGAGAAAATGATGTATTTTGGAAAAAACACTGCACTTTATTTATAAAGTTTGAAGAAACTTTCATTATATTATGTTTTACTTTCTATAATTTTGTGAGTTATTGAATAGAAAAAGAACACAGAGAAGATGATAAAAAATATTGTTTAGATTCAAGAAAATAGCATAAAAATAAGATTTTTTTTATGTAATGAAAAAAGATATTAATTATGTGGTATAATTAATTTTTATAAAAATAATTAATTAAATTTAAATAAAATAAATATGAATAAAAAATTGAAAATGATTGGTAGTGAAATAAAAATAATATTACAAATTTGTTTAATTTTTTAAATTGAGTATATATATATAAGCAGTTTCAATTTTTTCTCTTATACGAATTTAAGAATGTATAAGTGTAATAAAAAAATCACAATTAAAATAGATATTTACATATTAAATTCAAACATATAAAATAAAATAAAATGTACCAACGAAATTACTACTTCACAACACAGTGAAATAAATTACAGGCATACTAAATATTTCCCGTTAATAAGTTTGTGAGATTATTTTTGTTAAAAATATAATTTTAAGAATGAACTTGACAATAAATTATAAATTATTTTGTTATGAAGGTACTAAATATGAATGTACGCAAAACTTCAAATAGGTGATGAAAAAATAATTTGCTAATAAGAATTAGGTTGATTGAGTTGAAATTAGAAATAAATGACAAGAAAACCCATGTACCTTACAGGACTGATTTAATAGAAGAGATAAACAAAATAGATTAAATTGAAAAATACAAAGAATAAATATGTGTAAACAGTTTACTGTATTATCCCGTCATGATGTGATTCATGGCCATGGTAGAACAAACTACGGATAATAACATGAAGAGCACCCTCTCATAAATCATTATATAGTCCTCTTTTTATTTAATTATAATTTATAAATTAATCATAAAATGTTAAATATATCTTAAAATCATCTTATCCGTCTATTTTTTTTCTTCTGTTGATGTGTTTTTTTTTCCCTCGCATAAAGTGAATAGTGTATCTTAATTTTGGCTCTCCTTTTAACCGTACACAGTAAATTAGTGTCATCATAGAAGCAAGAAGCAAGTAGTGTTAGTATAATAATACAAGAGTAGAAGTAGAACTGTAGAAGAAGTGGTCACCGACACCACACAACACAGCTCAGTGACAGTAGCATGGGTTGTGGCGGTGCATTCTCGCATCTCATTCTCACTGCAATCGCACTAGCAATAGCGATTCCATTGGCTGCCTGCGATACGCCTCCTGTGGTGTTTGTCTTCGGCGATTCCAACTCAGACACGGGTGGACTCGCTTCCGGACTCGGTTTCATTATCAATCTTCCCAATGGCCGCACTTTCTTCCGAAGATCCACAGGTCGCTTGTCTGATGGACGCCTGGTCATCGACCTTCTCTGTCAGTCAACTTTCCCCTTTCCTTCTTCGCATTTTAATTTTCATTTTCTTTACCAACTTCCATGGTTAAAGATATTATTCATATTTCAATCACCAAATGTCTCAGATTCAATGATTAATAATCCCAATTACTGGTGTATTATACTCCAAAAGAGGTGTAGATCGCAATGAACAATCATAAAACCATCCTCCTTCTGTTCATTGTTCAGTGTAATTAATGTAAGGATAGTGGAAATGGAGCCGTATCCAGCCAGCTAAGGGGTTTGCTGAATGTGATGTCAATACGGCGTCGTTTATTTGACAGTCTGTATGTTTTTTTATAATTGGGCCTGGATTTTGGATTCCAGCAGTCCAATACGCACCATAAAGGGCCCAACTGTCTGCACACTTTAAATTTCTTGAATCATCCTTCTCCATTCTCAAATAGGTATTCATTCGTTACATTCCCTAATGAAAGAGATCTTAGGAGATAGAAGATCGTTAAAGAGATTTAAAGGGTGTGAGAAGAAATATTCTTCTATCACCCTGGATTCATTTTAATCTGAAACTGATAATGTAAAACCCATGTGTACCTTCACCATGAGAAGATCCCCAGTCCCTACTTTCTTTCTTATGCCATTTCTTTTTTCAATTTCGAAATGTTACTTTTACCTGATTCGTCTTTTTAATACTGATAAACAGGCTCGGTATTTGGATTTTTTTTACTTAAATTTCAAATATCAAAGTGTGGCATTTCACTGAATAAATTAGAGATAACAGTCGTTATACTAATTTCAAAGGTACGGGTCGTTATATTATACATTCTCTAATTTGCATTCTCACTCTTTAAAATCTTTGCATCGAACAAAATGAGAAAGGGAAATAAAGAAAGAAGAAGAATGACTACAATTTAGTGATGGTTCTCGTTGATGACCATCGAAGTAAGGCATTTTCAAATCTACAACCTTGATCTTTGGTGATTCATAGAATTTTTTTTATCGATATTACAAGTACTTTAATGTATTTTTGAATAATTATATTTAATTTTCAACACTTTTTGTCGTTTTGTTTTAATCAATATAGTAAGATAAACTGAAAGGATAGGGAAGATACATATTTTGTCCACAATTTGTACGAAAGAAGTATTTTTAACGAGTAATAAGAATGCATATTCAGCTAAAAAAAATTATACTATTTAGCAACAAAAAATATCTTTCTATATTTTAAAAATAGTTATTATAAAATTTTATAAATTTCACTTTGCAATTTTAAACATTAGTGCAAAATCTATTTATTCTACTAGAACACGTGTTATGTATTCTTTTGACAAATTATGTAATTTTTACTGCCAGTGGCAATTGAAAAATGGTCCTGACAAATGAAAGCTGAGGGTTTAGGAATTAGGATGCTAGTTTCATGTATCGAAATATTCTTCAGTCTGAAAATACATTCCTTCCAACATTTGCAGGCCAAAGTTTGAATGCAAGTTTGTTGGTACCATACTTGGACGCCTTGTCCGGAACCTCATTCACAAATGGAGCAAACTTTGCTGTGGTGGGGTCCTCTACTCTCCCTAAGTATGTTCCTTTCTCCTTAAATATACAGCTCATGCAATTCCGGCGTTTCAAAGCTCGTTCTCTTGAACTTGTTACGGCAGGTAGATTTCCTTTGCGCTATCTTATATCTCCTTGACTTAAAAAATTGAAAATTAAATTTTCTGAACTGTCTTTTGTGGCCTTTGTTTTAAGTATTTGACTGCTATATTTGTTTTCCTCTGAATATCATGCATGCTAAACAGTCAACGCTAGTGAAGCTTTAAGCTGTCATTTTTCTCAGTACTCTGATTCTTTTCTGAGTTCTAACCCCTATTAATGTACCAAAATTAGTCTTGTTCAAAGAATGGAGTCTGATTCAATGGAGTTCAGATTTTTCCTGTGCTATGATGCTTTCGCTGTTCAGATTTTAACACTACTTTTGTTAGGCTGCCTGCATATTTTTTAAATGAATTGGCTTTCGCTCTTAAAAAGAAGTAGTACTCAATTATTGGGGCAAAATATATTCAATATACATTTGAGTTTGAGTTTGTATTTAAGAATGAACTGATTGGACTGCAAACTTACACAGGTGCAAGAAATTTCATCAGTGACGAAGGCTTCCGCAATGCACTCTACTTGATTGATATTGGGCAAAACGACCTTGCTGATTCATTTGCCAAAAATCTGTCATACGCACAAGTGATTAAGAAGATCCCATCATTTATAACTGAGATCGAGAATGCTGTTAAGGTAGTTCAATGTTCTTCATAATTGTTTAGTAAACTTATTATCTATGCAGCTGACTAATTTTCCTTGTTCAGTACTGGTGATTTAGGTTGGTAGAAGGGGATGAGTGTAATCACAAAATTAATACTAATGTTCTAGCCTATCCTTTACGACTAGATAATATATCCCTTTCCTTCTATTTCTTTTCCTTTTTATTGAGTGCTTTCTCTGTTTCTCAGTAGGTTATAGGTAAGAGGGCAAAGAATTTTGTTCGTAACTGCTAAATTTCCTTTTATTGAAATAAGCTGCAGCAATGATCTTGGCTGGGAGGTGTACGTTAATTTTATTACTATTTCTTCGTTGATTTTTTATATCTCCTTCTAAGAATGTGATGTTTTCCTATCTGTATCCAGAATTTACATAACGAAGGGGCCAGGAAGTTTTGGGTTCACAATACTGGGCCATTGGGCTGTCTTCCTAAAATACTTGCACTGGCTCAGAAGAAGGATCTAGATTCATTGGGATGTCTTTCTAGTTATAACTCGGCAGCACGATTGTTTAATGAAGCGCTGCTTCATTTGAGTCAGAAACTAAGATCTGAACTGAAGGATTCTACTTTAGTCTATGTTGATATTTATGGCATTAAGCATGACCTCATTACAAATGCCGCAAAATATGGTAATCCAAGCAAGCACTTTCTTCTCGTTTAAGTATCGATAATTATTTGACTATCTATTTTGTTACTAATCTGAATCAAGTTTTCCTTCGTTTCACTCCATTCACTCTTTTGTTACTAAACCGAATCAAGTTTTCCAGGATTTCGCTCCATATGTTATGATGACATATAAATGGCACAAATAACTACATATATTTGGATAGAGGAACACCAACAACATATTATTTTACGAGTCCATGTTCTTTCCTGTATTTTGTTTTGTTTTTTTTTTTTTGCTCTCCTTTGCTGAACCTTCCAAATACATTGATGTATAGTGATTTTAATGTTTTAAAAAAATTTTTTTTTTTAATATACCAACATCAATGCTTTTTGAAGACTCAACAAAGAGAAAATAGAGAATTCAAATTCTTATTTTACACACTCCTTTGAAGACACTCTTTCCCATTTGATGAAACTTTGTTTAATGCCACGAATTTTTGTTGGTTACATTTTTTTATTTTGCAAATTTCACTAATAATTTTGTAATTTCTAATAAATTTTAATAAATACTATAGAATATGTTTAAAAGATGCACTGCTAGCACTCCTTAGTTGGCTTAACATGGTAGTGGTTCAAATATTGCATTAATTATTATCATAATCAATTTGATGGTGTTTGTAAATGCCTAATTGGTTAGGTTTCTCAAATCCGTTGATGGTATGTTGCGGCTTTGGAGGGCCTCCTTACAACTTTGACGTAAGGGTAACATGTGGTCAACCTGGTTATCAGGTTTGTGACGAAGGGGCTCGATATGTAAGCTGGGATGGAATTCATCATACTGAAGCTGCAAACACGTGGATAGCTTCTAAGATACTTTCCATGGCTTATTCCACACCACGAACACCTTTTGATTTCTTTCGCCACTGATTATGCACTGAGTGTGCAAAGCAATCAATAAAAGGTTAGTTCATTGGTTGTTGGTTTACCAAATCTATGTAGTTTCCAAGAACAGAGTCTGTCATGAAGCAATGCACGTTCTGAAGCTCTATGAAGTTGGAGTAACCAGACTATGATATCATAATTTGGTTTTTATTTGACAATATGGATGTATGTTTACTATGTAAACAATTGATGACTCACATGAATGCATTTTTGGCCTGTATTAGAGATGGGACATGTAATTGAATCAGTGAAGACTACCAGCCTAAAAAATCGTTGTCAAAATAACTAAATTTATATTCCTAACGTTATACTATTTTAAACTGTTATGAAAACGGATACTGTAGAAGTTTTCTGATAAAGGAACTCAAAATAGAATGAAAAAAGAAGTAGAGAGAAAGAGTTTTCTGAAAATAAGATCTTTCTGATATGGTATCTGAAACCATTTACAAGTCTCGTACTGAATAGTTACCACTCAGAGTTAAATAGCATAGAATTAATTTCCAAGAATCATAAAGTTTCAAGCTCCAAATAACACAATTAATACAATGATGCAAAATTAAGGCATATAATAATTTTACTTACTGTAGCCCATTAAATAAAATGTTTTCTTTGATCAAATTAATGATAAGTGATAAAATAATGTGTACTTGCAAGTCTTAAATGAGTTTTATTCATTTTAAACGTATTTCAGATTAAATCAAAAATAGAACGTAGAACATTTTTAAAAATACTCGAACAAATTAATTTTCCTCATCAATGTTCTACTGTCTTTTAATGGTTTTTTATAACCAAATTGATTGGGTTTTTTAACTCAGAATTGAGTGGGTTTCGGAGACCATAGATTGGTTGGACTTTCTGGGTTTTACAACGATGTTTTTGGGAGTGTTTCATCTTACACCTCCAAGATCTATTTTGCATCTCTATAAATTTCACTTTTAACTTTCTGACATCTCATCATTATTTCACACCTTTAACTTTATAAATTTTTTTTTTAATTTTAATAAATATATTTTTATTTTATTTTCTTTTTCTTGTTAAAAAACTCTACACCACCTTAATAATAATTAAATTTAAAATTCTAATATTATTTAATATAATTTTATATTTTAATAATTATTAAAATATAATTTATATTATAATAATAGTTATATTAAAAATATAAAAATAAAATAATTAAAATAAAAATAATAACAAAAAAATAGAATTATATTAAATAAAATATTTCATATATTCAAATATATTAAATTATATTAAAATATTAAATTAAATTAAATAATTATTAAAATTTAAATAATAAATAAAATTTTAAAACAATTATTTATCAAATAACAAATAAAATTATATTAAATAAAATATTTAAATATATTAAATTATATTAAAATATTAAATTAAATTAAATAATTATTAAACTTTATATATAAAATAAAATTTTAAAAACCATCGGATATGATATCCGACTAAAAAAATTTTCAAAATTTTGTTTTTTTTAAATTTTAATAATTATTAAATTTAATTTAATATTTTAATATAATTTAATATATTTAAATATATTAAATATAATTTTAAGTATTATTTTTATTTTCATTTTTATTCTTTTCAATTTTCTTAATAAAACTATTTTAAAAATATAAATTATATTTTATTAATATTAAAATATAAAAATATAATAAGTGATATTATAATTTTTATTTAAGTTTAATATTTATTAAATTTTAAATAAAAAACAAAAGTATTAACATATTTTATAGATTTTAATATATAAATAAGTTTTTTAAAATTTNAAATTTTTTTTTTAATTTTAATAAATATATTTTTATTTTATTTTCTTTTTCTTGTTAAAAAACTCTACACCACCTTAATAATAATTAAATTTAAAATTCTAATATTATTTAATATAATTTTATATTTTAATAATTATTAAAATATAATTTATATTATAATAATAGTTATATTAAAAATATAAAAATAAAATAATTAAAATAAAAATAATAACAAAAAAATAGAATTATATTAAATAAAATATTTCATATATTCAAATATATTAAATTATATTAAAATATTAAATTAAATTAAATAATTATTAAAATTTAAATAATAAATAAAATTTTAAAACAATTATTTATCAAATAACAAATAAAATTATATTAAATAAAATATTTAAATATATTAAATTATATTAAAATATTAAATTAAATTAAATAATTATTAAACTTTATATATAAAATAAAATTTTAAAAACCATCGGATATGATATCCGACTAAAAAAATTTTCAAAATTTTGTTTTTTTTAAATTTTAATAATTATTAAATTTAATTTAATATTTTAATATAATTTAATATATTTAAATATATTAAATATAATTTTAAGTATTATTTTTATTTTCATTTTTATTCTTTTCAATTTTCTTAATAAAACTATTTTAAAAATATAAATTATATTTTATTAATATTAAAATATAAAAATATAATAAGTGATATTATAATTTTTATTTAAGTTTAATATTTATTAAATTTTAAATAAAAAACAAAAGTATTAACATATTTTATAGATTTTAATATATAAATAAGTTTTTTAAAATTTTCATTTTTATTTAAAATTTAATAATTATTTAATTTATTTTAATATTTTATTATAATTTAATATATTTGAATATATTAAATCAAATTTATTATTATTATTATTATTATTATTTTATTTTTATGTTTTTAATATAACTATTATTATAATATAAATTATATTTTAATAATTATTAAAATATAAAATTATTTTAAATAATATTTAAATTTTAAATTAAATTAAATTAAAGTTAAAAATATTTATTAAAGTTAAAAATAAAATTTTGAAAAAGTTGGAGATGCAGAATGAGATGTCAGAAGATTAAAAATAAAATTTTTAAAAATACAGGTTAAGATCTTGAAGGTGTAAGACAAAACACTCTTTTTTGTTGTGGAATATTGTTGTATCACGAACTATGCAAATAATTGATAACACAAATTATTGTACTTTTTGCTATGACACGATTATGAATAATAAATTAGTGCCACATACTTCAAAATATGTATATATAAATAATATATATTATGGAACATCTTGTTTGAAAAGATAAATTTCACTTCGATAAAGAACCTCTTGCGTTCAAAAGATATTTTTCTGGAATCTCAATTGAAACATTATAATAATAATAATAATAATAATAATAATAATAATAATAATAATAATAATAATAATAATAATAATAATAATAATAATAATAATAATAATAGTAATAATAATAAGTGATTATAATAATTTATGGATAATAAAATGAAAAACGGATTTCAACAATTAAAAAGATTTTGGTGAGTTTTTAACTTTTAACGTTGTCTATAAATTCTTTAAAGACATTTGTAACATACATTAGAATAATTGCATTAAGTGAAACTTGAAATTCCTAAATAGTCATCATTCTTATTATATCTTGTTCCAAATTATTCTTTTGTTTGATAGTAAAAAGCATACCGCAACTGACCACATAAAAAGTTGATTTGGCAAAATATTTTATTTTTCTTTTAAGCTTTCTTTTAGTACATACATATGCTTCTTTTTCCCTGAAAATAACATCATAAGGCTATTAAAAAAAAGAGAAGAATGAGAATAAGCCCTTAGGATCTGTTTAGTTTGAACAAATTGACAGTAAAAAGGAAAAGCATAAAGATCAACTTGCTTTTGAAGTAAGTTTTTTTACATTTTTCACATTTATTCTCCTCCATAACTTTTTATAAAGCACACATTTTGTACCGTTAAATCATATAATATACTGTCTACCATCCATGTCAAATTTTATATAAATAAAATATAAAATATCTATGTATGTATAATTTTATAATCAACAATTTCTTATATTATATATAAAAACCATATCATACGTCAAAATAAAGCTGATTGATAAAATATCAATTTAAATTGTAAAATGTGTATATTTGATTTATTTCTCATGAATTCTTAGTACAATTATTGGACTGATGAAATTTAATGTCTGTAAAATATTATCAGGGGGAGTAAGTAGAGCATACCTCTCCATTCAAAAAATAAAACAAAACTTACACTGAAGTAAGTTTAACAGAATTTAAAATTAAACAATACAATTATGAAACTACTTGAAACTAAATATACCATACTTTAGAGGTTTTCCCTCCCTTCCCAATAAGAAATAATCTATAAAATATAATAAGTATTCTAAAAAGTAATTTCCAAACTATTTGGGATGATAAAAAATAATTAATCACTTTAAACTAATTGTAATTAATTACCTATTTGAAAGCACCACTAGTTTGACACCTAAAACAAATTACTCAGTGAAAAGAATAAATATCTTGAAAACAATATTAGATGCCCTGATTTTTATTTTTTTAATTTGTGGAAACAGTAAAGTCACTTGCAAATTTTTTTTCTGATTATATAGATTTTTATGTTCGGTCAAACGATAATTATGACAATTTATAAATAGTGATAAAAGAGGATAATAAGGACCACATATATTTGAGTGCATGAGTTGGATTATTAGTGATGGAATCTCTTAGCAGCCATGGCAGGCACCTGTTAGTGGGGACATAGTTCGGAAGCCATCGAAATACTTAGGTCACATTGTAAGCATTACTTTCCATTCTTAATGACTTTTTTTTTTTCTGTAATTAATTTTTCATACTCACTTTCCTATTATCATTGTGTTTATGTATGTTTGCTTAGGTCTTGTCATGTGTGAAGATTATTCTAAGTAAATAGTATTATTATAAAAGTTAGCAAATTATTTTAAATTGAAAAAATAAAACTAAAATCTTTATTCTATTAGTAACCACTGTTTTTCTCAAAAACAGTTAATCCAACTATTAGTTTTAAACCAATTAATCATGTCATGCAAGATGTACCTTATTCATGAAATAAATAAAAAAGGAAACAAAAACAAGACATATTGTTGTGTTTTGATTTAAATATATTTGTAATCTTCTTAAAATTAGAATGTATTTGTTTTGATAGTTGGATATTTCATAATGACTAGATGAATATTTCAGAGTGACTAGAAATAAAGTTAAATTAAACAATTTTTATTTTATAAGTTAATTTTGTTAAATAATTTAATCTAAACTTAGTTTCTAATATGATATTGAAACTTATCCTAACAATATTAGTTGAATTTAGTGTGTAATTATTCCTGACAATATTAATTGGATTTAGTGTGTAATTTTTTTCTCATATGTTAAATCACTCACAAATATCTAACTTTTAATACAATATATATCTTGACTTTATAGTCAGAGATCTTATTTTATAAGGGATCATGATATTTTAACAACTTTTTTTAACAATTTTTTATAACAAACTATGTGTCACTATTTTATTGGTCCGTATATTTAAAATGGACGAATCACATGTAGGGTTATTGTAAAAAAATTATCAAAAAAAATTGTTAAAAAGACATTTTCTTTTTATAAGTTAGTTTTACAAGGATGAATTATTTTTAAACTTACTTTTTAATTTTAATACATGTAAAAAATAATTTTTATTTTCACTAACTCTAAAATAAATAAAAAATTATTATTATTTGTTTAATATTATATGAAACACATAAACTATTTATGTATGGAAAAAATTTTAAATGATTATTTATGTTTAAAAAGTAAAATTATTTTTTCTAATAACAAACTGAAAAACGGTATGAGCTTAAACAAATTTAATCTCTTCACAAATAAGTTTAATTTCATAATTTTAATCGAAAAATATGAATTGATAAAATCAAATTGTAAATATTTTTTAATCATTAAATTTTATCTTATTAATAATTTTATTTTAATTAAATAATTTAAAAAATATTAAATCAAAATTATTAATAATAAGTAGTGGGTATCTACAAATACAATACCATAATATTTATATCGTCCCTCTATCAAATATCAAAAAAGTAATTAAAATGTTTGGGCTTATCATTAGCATATATCTATTAAAAAAAATTAAACTCAATATACTTATAAATTTTATTCACGAATACAGTCATCGTGGAGTTTTTTTTTTGTTTTTTTTGTCAGTAGTAACTATTTTAGAGTTCAATAAATATTGAATTGGATGATGGTTATTTTAAAAAACAAAATCTCTAGGATGAAATTTGATTCGACCTATGCAGTATAATAAGACGTGAATTAACACATTTAGTGATTCAACAAGTTTATCAAGATTTGTGTACAATGAATCTAATTCTAAGGCATAACGGAAAGTAATATTAATTACATCTCTATTTAACTAAACTATCCAACTTTACCCTTTAAAATGTCCACACAAACGACTAGAGTTTTCCTAATTATTTTACAGAATGATTTTTAAAAAATATAAAATTCAAAACAATATCAAATAGACATAGTTATTTATTTTGCTGATAAAAAGAAGGACACAGTTACTTATCTAAGTAGTATGAAATATCATTTCTCTCTTTTCTCGAGTTAACGTTAATCTTCATTATTATTATTTTGACAATTAGCATAAAGTTAGTTATTTCTTATTTATGAAAATACAAATATTTAAGAATCGAACAAAAAAAAAAATAACAATTAATGTGCAGTCAACTTTTGAAAAAGATAAATGAGTACAACAAAACTTTGGCTGATTAGACAGATGAAGAAATTGAATTCATGGTTCCAAACGATGGCAAAGATATATTAACACTGATATTTTTATATAATATTTTCATAATATATATATTATTTTTGTTCTCCGAATTAATTATACGCAGTTCAGTCCGCACAAGAGATACGACGAAAATCTGTGTTCGCATAATTTACCAAGCACGATAACTTTAGATGTTCAACTCTTGTGAAAAAAGATATTAATAAAGATGGTAGCTTCTTCCTTCTTTTCAATTCAATTCAATGCATAACAAGTACAGGGTCAAAATCATCATCATGTAGCCACCAAAAACTGGGTTAAATACAGTGTTTAAGGTTGTCAGAATATCATAGTCATTGGATCATACTCCATAACCAGTTCATCAGATATATATGCATATAATTATAATTTTATAACGAAAGATTTAAGTCTAAATGCTCACTTCTTTTGTCTTTCTCTTCACCATTATCTTCCTCAGCCTGAACCAATCGTGTTGCATCTTGCAAATCTTCTTTCTTTTCGAGTACGAGCTCTTTGTGTGAAGGACCTGCAAGATCATGATGATGAGAACCTGAAACTTTACCAGTCTCCGGCATTTTTTCTCCAGAATCAATGAAGTCTTCAACTTCAAACTTTGGGTTCCAGATACTCCTTTCCCTTTCTCCATCCATTTGCTTAGTCTCCTTGTACAATCGATCCCGAACATCTTTTGTCCTCTTTATCAAGGCAAAGAACCTTTCGATCTTCTGCTCCTCGTTTTCTTCTTCATTTTCTATTTTTCTCTTCCTTCTTTCTCCCTCCATGCTCCTTAAATCAACGTATAACAAATTGACGCAAAAGCTGTTTTAGATGTTAAAGGGGAAATTAAAAAACAAGAGCAACTGGTACGGAGAAAACTACGGTGCTTGTTCCCTGTACAGACATGCATTAACAGAAAAAGAAACACGAGAGAAACGGAAAAAGAAGTTTGAGAACGTCATGTCATATATTGGAAGGTGATGATGATGATGAACAATAGCAGAAGAAAGAGCCAAAGTGAAGAAGAGCTTGAATAAGAATTGGACCCAAAATAATTATAATATGCCTCACTGTAAGCTGAGATCTGACAAGAACTTGCTATAGTCAACAAGAACCATGGAAATTGCTCAATGAATTCAATGAACTCAAACCGTGTTAATTGACTCACAAGAGAGGTCAATACTAGCGTGTTATTTTATTTACTACCCACATTATTGGATTGACACTAATGCCCTCCGATATCTATTTTCATTCGTCTAATATATCTATCTATTTTCTTTATCATTACTGTTTGTCAGAAAATTGACTGACCAACCTCCAAAGATCTTAAGCTTCAAGTTAGCTAATTAAATTGGTTTAAAATTCTCCATCGTGTACTTTAGGAACAAGACCAACAACGCTCTTAAGATTAGTTTAATGATAAAGTTAAAAGAAAAAAGTAAAAAAGATTGTTAATTCAATTTTTTCATTGACGGTCAAAAGTTATAAAATTGCATTGATGAATTTAAAAGAAAAGATACAAAAATAAAATTGAAAGTTTTTCTCTGACTAAAACAACGTAAAAGAGTATTCTTGGTTTAATCTTACCAATCTTGTGAAAATATTCAGTGTTACTGTCTCCTCAACATGCCTAGAACGCAGGTTTTCTCCTTCCAAAACTCATTTAATAAAGCCAACTCTATGTTTTTCAAGGCTTGTTGTTCCCGATTGACATGATAATTTACCATAATCGATGGAAGACTGAATCTCCTTCGCATCAAAGAATTAACTCAATCTTCAACCTTCCCAAAAATCTCGCAATTCAAAATTGTGAATTTCTTCTTAATCTCCGTTAATGTTCAGGATAAGATCAATATACACAAGACAATTGGTATCCTGAATTACAAAATTTACAAATTTACAATCTAGACACTTAAATGTGAAAATTGATTTAGTAAAAATCTTTCATCAATTCAGGATTAAATATATTTTTGATCTTTTATTTTTTTTAGTGAAAATTAAAGTTAGTTTATATTTTAAAATTTTGATTCAATTTAGTTTCTTAAGTTAAGTAGTGTTTTTAGTTTAGTTCATTTAATTAAATTTTACTAGGTTTATTTGATGTTTCAAACATGTTTTTCAGCTAATATCAAGATAAAAATAGGTCAAATGATAAAAACGACTCAAATATTATTATAAAATACATTAGAAACATTAAATAATTTTAACAAAATTTAGTTAAAAGAACTAAATTCATACATTTTTAAAGTTGTAGAATTAAATTGTATCAAAATTTTGAACAATGACTAATTTCAATTTTGATTAAAAGTTAAACAATCAAAAACACATTTAACTCATTTTTATAATTAGTCTAAATTATTTGATGGTTTGAGACCATATTGATAAGGTTGATTCGGTGAGTATAGATTATTTGCTAGTATAAACCAAAACTCAGATAAAATATTTAAATAATAAAAATGATAGTTTTGAAAATTTGTTCAATTTTATGGCTTTGGGTATGAAAAAACTAAAACCATAAAATATGTGACCTTTGTTCTCTAATAATCGATGTTACATCTCCTTTCTCATATAAATTATCTATTCTCTCATATAAATTATTTAAATAATGAGAGTGACAATTTTAAAAAATTGTTTAGTTTTATAACAATATTGAGTCTGGAAAACTGAAGTTATAGGAGTATATAAGTATATTATGTCGGTTCTCTAACAATTGAAACCATATATGCTTCCTCAGATAAATTATTTAAATAAATAGATTTTTTTTTTATGATTTTGACATACATTTTAACTTTAGTTTTGATATAACTAAAATCATATATAGATATGGTCTTAATTATTCTAAAACTGAGATTGAATCTCTTATTTCAAATAAAATAATTAAAAGCAATTATAATTTTAAAAAAAATTGAAATTTTTACACATATTTTTAATCTCGATTTTTTAATAATTGGAGCCAAAAAAATATATGATTTCAATTTCACTACAATCAGAATTTATAAATTTGTCAAATTTTTAAAATTGTCATTTTGTTTTAAAGTTTTTCAAAATTGAAATATATTGGACGAATTAAAAATACAAATATGCATGGATACAGAAACCAAGGTCCAGGATTGTACGAGACCAAGACATATATAACACATTGTATATTGACCGAGTTTATGAGAAAGAATTGAGGTTAACTTTTGTACGCCCAGTCTGGAATTTTTTTGTTAGCTATTCCCCAGACATTCCGATATGTTGTTTCATTTAAAATATTATCGTATTTAACTCAATCAAATCAATTTATTAAGGTACAATACGAATATTGGTATTATGTATATATTTATTTAAAATAATAAAAGAATTATAAAATTTAAATTGGAAATATATATATATATATGTTCATTATATATCTTAAAATAAATAATATCATACTAAAAGATAATCATTGAAAATATATTTATAAAATATGTAACATCTTCAAGTTGTCGTGATAATAAAATATTCTGAAAATATATCAAATTATTATTTTTTAAAGATGAATGTATGAAAAGGGTAGAATAAATGGAGTTGAAGAAGAAGTCATAAAAGGGAGGGCAGGATGGTAAGTATGTGTGGAAAAGAGACTTTGATAGAAAGAATAAGCATGTAGATGCATCTCTCTCTACGTCATCCCATGATGTAATATTTCCACATTTCCACCTCGATAATACTTTGTTTTCTCGTGGCTTCTTTTAAAAAATACGTCTGCTTTTAAGATAATAATAATCAATTTAATTATATATGTCAATATATATTAATTTATAAAGGAAAATTCACAATTTATAGTATAAAAAGTATTAAATAGTTATATATGTTATGAAATTTATTTATGTGGTACAAAAAATGTGATTATTTTTTTATGCACATGAATTTGTTGGATTAGTGAGAAATCACGTATTAAATCAATAATCTAAATTGAAAAAAGAAATGTGATAAAAAAAGTTAATAATTTTGTTTTATTAGAGAGAGAAATATTCCCTGAAGAATATATACTTTAGGTTGGTGAACATATGAAAATGGATATGGACCCCATAAAAAACATATCATATGGAAAACTTATCTGAATTAATGATGCGTGTCTGGACCCAACGATGTATTATTGTTTATAATGAGGTTTGAAATCAGGTTCTTAATAGAGTAAGTCCAACTACTTAATCTTTGTAATCATGTTTAATAAAAAACAATTACATGAAAAGATATGTTAAGAAACATAAACAGTGTTACAGCATGTAATGCTTTCTTTATTTAACTTTATGAGTATCTTCTTACAACAAGATTTGAAATTATTTTTCATAATTTAACATTTCATGCGCACGTTAAAAATGACATTTATTTGAACAATTTTAGATGTAATGTCTTGAGTATTTTTGGTATTATTTCTAATCGAAACAAAAGTTTGACCATAAAAAACTATAATTTGATATTTTTATAATATAAAGGACAAGTAAAGATTGAAGTTTTATTACGTAGTGCTTTTTTTTTTAAATGTTTACCTTTTGTCCTGTTTATTTAAGGAAAATGTTAGCAGTTAATTGAGGGCACTAAGTAAAAAAAGTTGTTTATTAAGGAAAATTACTTTTTAACAAAATAAAATAACAGTTTCGAGGATAAAAACATTTTAATTATAAATTTTTTAATGAACGGCCTTACTACACTAGTTCCTATCAGATGCTTTATTTAGTCATGTTTGCAACTTGGATTTTATTAATTTGTGAATTCTATATGGGGAAAAGCAAAGAACAAATCTTCCTTATTGTTTTCTTTTTTTGTTGAGTGGACCAATTTCAATTCTGCGTGGGAGCAAATTGAACTTATTGCCCATACATTTTTTTTAAGGAAACAAATCACAACTATATACGATAGGCTTATTCTAAGACGACTTGACTCAATAGTTTAAGACTTGTGTCAGTAATTAATTTTTAATATATTTTACTATTGTTTTATTGAAAACTT